AAAAAAAAGAGTCATGATTGTAAACCTATTATCTCTGTAGTTTGAAAATACAAGTTGTAGTCAGTGTCTACCAAATACAGGCTCATGCTACTTCTTATATTTTTCTTTTTAAAATCCATGAATGATGTGATTAGTATTCGGGAACCATAATAAAACACCAGTTTACTTGAAACTTAATTGCTATAAATTTTTATGTATTTGGATCTCCCACTTTTACTAAAGTACAGACTTCAATGAGCTATGGAGGTCATTAGCCAAGAAACTACAAGGGCATATGAGAACCAAGTGTGTATTATTTCATTCGAAAGCAACAAATTAAGTAGGTTATTTAGATGGAAAGAAATTAAGCTTATTTCCCATTGCAGGTGATTAGAGTTGTGAGAATCTTCCACCACTAAACCATCAACCATTTCAAACCTACGTTTCCAGGTGGAACACTTACAGGTCTGGCAGTGAGTTTCTGTGGGTCCCCAGCATCGTCCAGTGCAGGATTTATGGCATCTTCCACCTGCACAAAAGAAAAAAAAAAGGAGAAAGACTGTGTTTACTATAGCATTGTTTTCTTGTATCTTCTTAATGAAATTCCCTTGTTTCTAGCAGGAGATTTTAAGTCATGCTAGAATTGAGATACATTCCTAAAAATGATTACTTATTTACCAAAATCCGAAAGTTTTTTGTAGGAGAAATTGAAGCACAATGACCTAACATGTGAAATTGTCCCACACTTTACATGAAAAGGAAGCAAGTCTATTTGTTAATATTTCTTTGCACAGAAGCAAGTAGTTACATTTTTTCATTTTGACTATTGAACATTGATATTTCCTAGATCTATGCTACTTAATAGAGTTTCCAAAGCTCACAACTTAATGATAGCAACCAATATTAAGAATTAAGGGGTAATAACTCAAAGGAAGAAGTTGCATTCTATTACAAGAATGTATTATTCAATGACACTATAAACCATCAGACTAAGAGGTAAAATCAAGCACTGAAAAAAGAAATAAATAAATAAATAATATTTAGGGAAATTTAATGCTGGTTGTTTAATATGTAGGTCTAAAAATTTGTTAAGATCTGAATGTTCAAATGGCATCCTTTAAGTCCTAAGATGAAAGTTCACATCTGTGGGTTTCTTCTGTATGGGGTATAGCTGTCCCACAGAGAAATTCTCAGGAGAACTTGGGACTAATCTCATTAACTGGAGCAGGCCATGTGTGTGAACTATCCTTGAAACTTGTTTCTGAATTTTACTCGAAACTTCAGAAGTCCGCTGACTTCTCTTTAGAATTGAGTGAACACGAAAAGCTATTAAAGACTAAAACCTTTCTATAGAAAGTTTCTGATTAAGAACTTTATTCATTTTTTACTACTAATTATAAATTCAGCATGCTTAACCAAGATAGCTACATTGTGAAGATATTAAATCTTCACACCAAATGTTACTGCCTTCCCTTGAGTCGGTTTTTAAATACTTAACTGAGAACTCTTGCTACTTAGAAGCTCTCTCTCTAATGAAAGTGCCTGAAAGAACCTGTGAAGTCCGACACTCATGGATAAACTCGACTGGACTGACAATTGTTCAGACTGAAACTTTGACTACCTGAGAGTCTATTAGAAGTGAAGAATGCGCTGCCCAAGCTCAGTGATGTTTAGACTCTCAAATCTAGTTATCGTTAGCAAAGTATGGGGATCATTTTGGAACACAGTTTATTTAAAGCCAGCATTGGTGGGGGACGGTTACTGATACCAGGGGCATACAATACCCTACCACTCTGCCATCTGCCTGTTTAGATCTAAACATATTATAACCACACAATACAAACTCATTCTAGCTGACAGGAAAAGAACTCCATCTGGACCAAATAATGCAATTTTAATCAGTGATAATGATAATTATTATTAAAAACCTTATGGGAGCTCCTTTGTACCAAATTAATAAATCTAAATAAATGTCATTTAGACCAGCTGAAATTAGAATGGGCTGTGAGTCAGAATGAGAAGCTGTAAAAACTTTCTTGAGGACAAAACTTTTTTATGAGAAAGTAGATAAAGTGTTTTTTTGTGGATTCACAAAAATCTTTTAGATCAATTGTTTTAGTGGTCAGTAAATTGAAGGTATCTATAGTAGACAATTATCTAACATTTAATATATGACTTCTTTTATTGTGTTTGGAATAATAAAATATTTAACTTTACTCTTCACAGCCAGAATGCCACTTATTTAAAAATATAAAAATCAAATGATAATAGAAATAAGCAATCAATTATAAATAGTATCGATAGTAATCATTTTGATATTCTAATCCTTTTGGGTTGAGTTGAAAATTGTGTTTTAAAGTTTCAGTTACTACCCTAAGATTATTCCCAAATTCAGTGTACTATACATATAAACTTGGGTATTGCTTATTCATATATTCAAAATACATTAAAATTTTAAAAGTAAAATTTCACAGAAAATGATTTTCATGTGTTTCTTATTCAGTCTGGGCAAGGTTCATCTAATAGGGAACATGTTACATAGTATACACACAAGCAGAGTTAAATAATTTAATCTTGGCTACATCCTTGTCATTGTGAAATTTCATTTGATCATCTTCATTTTCTTTCTTTTTGTCTTTTTATTTTTTTTTTTTCGAGAAAGAGTTCCTCTGTGTTACAGTCCTTTTTGTCCTGAAACTAGCTCCTGTAGACCAGGCTGGCCTTGAAATACAGAGATCCACCTGCCTCCATCTCCTGAGTGCTGGGATTAAAGGCGTGCGCCACCACCACCTGGCAGTCATCTTCATTTTCATCTGTGTTTATCAAAATCCCCTGACGACTGAAAGGATGCCTCCCGCAGCATCTCTATGATTGTCCATCCTTGATATCCACAGTGCTCTTTGGAAAACTTGAGCAACTGATTCCCACACATTTAAGACTGCCTGAGCTATATATTTCAGCTCTCTATTATACTGGTATACTAGAGAAGTTTGCTTAAATGAAGGGTATATTTTCAGGTCTGGAGGATCAGCCTAGCTTACCCTGATTTCCTGTCTTTAAGGAACTTTCACTCCATCTGTTCAGAGAATATGCCATACCATGATCTTTAAAGGGGGTAATGTAAACATTGTTTCCCCTGAGTCACAGCAATAGTCAGTCACCATATGTGACAAAAGTTGCTACCCAGACTTCTTATTTTGAAGTAACCATTTGCTATGTCCTTATCTGCTACCTGACTGTATGTTTTGTGGAGTATGGTGAAACACTTTTCTTTCTCTTTCTTTCTTTCTTTCTTTCTTTCTTTCTTTCTTTCTTTCTTTCTTTCTTCTTTCTTCTTTCTTTCTTTCTTTCTTTTTTTTTTTTTCTTTTTTTCCTGTTTTGGTTTCTTCAAGACAGGGTTTCTCTGTAGCTTTGGAGCCTGTCCTGGAACTAGCTCTTTTAGCCCAGGCTGGCCTCAAACTCACAGATATATGCCTGGCTTGGCCTCCTGGGTGCTGGGATTAAAGACCTGTGCCACCACCACCTGGAAATGGTTAAATATTTTTAAAATATGTTTGAAAGTCAGACATGGTGGTGCACATCCGTAATTCTGATAAAGGTGTAAGCAGTTAGTTCAAGCGACAATTCTGAGCTATGTAAAATCCCAACAATAAAAACAGCACAAAAACATATATCAAAATGAAACATGTTAAAAAATAATTATAATCTTTATTTTCTACCATTTCTATTGCATAAAATTGCCAATGAGAAAATGAGGTAAAGGGGTTCCATTATAATCATGAGTTAAGCATGGTGAGGAAACAGTAACTAACAAAACTCCTTGCTATTGTTTCTCTAATCTAAATATTCCTACTATTGCATATGGACCTTCTTGACCTGTATGTTAGGAACCAAGTAGAATATCAAAGGTACAATGTTGAATAGAAACAGATGGGACTATCATCTTAATGGACTTTAAAATTAGCTTAGGTTTAGGGCTGTTAGGGAAAGTTTTCATACTTTGATTTCAGTGATTTCCAGGTGTGTGGGGGGGCGCACAGAAAAATCTAATACATTTTTAGTATGGGTTAATATAGTTTGTTAAGAATTACTATTTTGATATAAAAGTAATAACATTGTCAATAAAAAATTGGTTAGATGTCACCCAAATGAAAAGATTTGTGGCTTCAGAGATTAGTATCATGTTCAGGGTCTTCACAGATCCAACTTAGCTAGGCAAGGGACCAGGGCTTACTTGGGGAAGTGCCAGGAGAGCTAATCCCAAACCAAGAATCTATCTCTAGTTAGCAGCCACTTACTAAGGAAACGTTAGCTTCTCCAAGGGAGTCTCGTTGGGTATATAAACCACACTTAAGAACACACTCCATACACATCAGAAGATGACCAACACAGACAAACTCAAAGCTATCTTGGGAGAGTTTCTTTTTTTTTTCTGCTATTGCTTAAATGGGGCATTTAGTTTTTACCTTCTGAACACACTAACAAACAAAAAGAAAAATAGGAACTAAGAGTGATAAATGCACACACACATTTTTCGTTACATATGCTTTTATTATACTTTCTAATAATCCCATCATAAATAGAGGCAGAATCATTTCAAAATAGGCTTTTTTCTTTTTCTTTTTTTAAAAGATTTATTTATTTATTGTGTATACAGTGTTCTGTCTGCATGTATGTCACCATTCCAGAAGAGGGCACCAGATCTCATTACATATAGATGGTTGTGAGTCACCATGTGGTTGCTGGGAATTGAACTCAGGACCTCTGGAAGAGCAGGCAGTGCTCCTAACCTCTGAGCCATCCCTCCAGCCCCCAAATAGTTTTTTTTTCAAACATGTTTTTATTTTTATTTCTTCCTTTTACTGAAAGTAGTTTTTTTCCCCTCACATAATACATCCTGATTAAGGTTTCCTTTCCCTCTGCCATTCCCAGCTCCTCCCCATCTCTCATTTCTGTCTTATAAAACAAACAGACTTCTTAGAGATAATAATAAAATATAACAGACCATAATAAAACAAAAAAAAATAAAAACTAGCAGATCGAAATGGAACAAAACAAATACAAAGCAGAGAAACAGCAAAGAGAAGGCACAAGAAACGATATAGATGCAAAGACCCATTTGTTCACATTCTGGAATCCCTTAAAAACATTAAATTGGAGAACATTATATATTATATTTTTTATATTGTTATATATACATGAACACACAAAGGATCTGTAGGTTAAAAACAGAGAAAATATAAGTAAATTAAAATTAATGTTAAAAATAAGATTTAGAAAAGGAAAAGACCCAACACAACATTGTAAGACAAGGAACCCCAAAAGACGCCAGTGACTACATTTTCTGCTGACCATCTACAGGTGGGGACAGTGCTTACCCTAAAGAGTAGTTTGTTTTCCCAGTGAGACTTCCTTGCAGGAAATTAAATTTTCATTTGCAAGTGGTTATCATGGAATTTGCACTGCTTAAGGATGGGGGAATGTGCTCACTTCTTCTTTCATTGTTCGAAACCCATCTGGTGCAGACCT